ACATATATATTTGAAGATTTAAAAAGGAAGAAAAACCATTTACAAAAATTTTTTGTTGTTTCTTTGCTGTTGTTTTTTCTGATCAAAGAAAATTCATTATTTTTGATGGCGGGCATGATAACTCCTCACTGGAACATCGGAATCCGAAAATTCAAACGGTGTTAGAAAGAGTACTTGTCTGGCTCTCGTATGAAGTAGGATTATTGACTTCGCACAACAATTGACACTAGAACGCCGAAGGCAGTCATTTTGACCGCTTTCCAATTTCAAGTACAAAAGCAACTGTGCATTTAATGACACTTTTTTTTAATTCAGTGAATTTTTTATAATAAACGTAATTCTATGAGGTACAAAAAGTCACCATATTTTAAAAAAAAAGTGTCATTAAATGCACAGTTGCTTTTTTACTTGAAATTGGAAAGCGGTCAAAATGACTGCCTTCGGCGTTCTAGTGTTAACAACATGGCGGATCTTTGATTTTCTTTTTTTTTGGAAAATCGCCTATTTTTGACCACAAACTAGATTAAAAAATAAGGAAGATCCTCACCGATTGGCTTTATCCCAGTTCATGTAGCTCTCGTCTACACACTCCCAGAGAAACGTGTAAAAATTTGGAACCGATTGGATTATTAGTTTTTGAGTTATCGTGCCCGCCATTCACTTCGAGAAAAAATGTGTTTAAAGTTTGAGAATCACTCTTGCCGTCCCTTGATGCTGACACAATAAATCGGCTATATCTTCAAGAGTTCTTGAAATTTTGTAGGGACATTGTAGAATTAGAGTATATTCGAATTATGACCGGATAACTGGCGTATCCGGTCATAGGTGTCTTAAGCTATTCCTGCAAAATTAATACGGCTATGAAGAATAACTTTTAGTGGCACAATGTCAGCAGTGAAAGTTGAAAAGGACTTCGGAGCCCTTAAATACCGAACGAGGATTCCAACAAGGTGACAGTTTATCGTGTGATCTTTTTAACATCCTGCTGGAAAAGGTCATAGGAGAGGCAAAAGTGAACAGAAATGACACTCTGTACACCAAACAACACATGTTACTCGCCTACGCCGATAACATCGACATAATGGGTCGAACACTGAGAGCGACCTGATGGTATCAACGCGCAACACGTCCAGTAGACTCGGACCAACTGTGGAACTTGAAAACTACAGCTTCGAGGTAGTGAACAATTTTATAGACCTAAGTACCGCCACAAACAAAACTAATAATATTATGTTCGGACTAGCTGAATTTTTTATACTTTCCACCATGAGGTGGACATTTAAAATAACTGTAATCGCATCATCAAGTTATGCCATGTTAAATCTTTGGTTGGAAGGTTTGACACCCAATTAGTGTGGGCCTATAAGAGGGTGCTATAAGTCATAATACCAAACTACAGCCAATTTTTTAAACGTTTATAAATTCCCTAAAATACTTTAATGTAAGTGGTCAAATGTGGACGTCAAACGACCACATACTTCCAAAAATACCGAATAATTGGGAGTTACCTTGATATGGAGGCTATCCTAAGCAGCAGTGGATCAATTTTGAAAATTTTTGGTAGCGAAAAAATTGTTGGAAGTGATGATTAAAAATTATTAAAAAACAAGTTACAGTCAATTCGAATGAAAACGTGTCTCAAAATACCAAGATAATATGACGAATTTTCGACGAATTTTAACACTTTGCAAGAACTCAGAATATTAAAATGGTTTACAAGGCTGAAATGTGATGGTCTTATGGGGGAAGGTGTATTGCACCAGGTGGTCATAAGGTCTATTAAAAATGTATTTCTTTCAAACAATAGTCATATTTCTTATAGTTTATCGATCCACAAATTAACATCAGGCCTTCGTCATTTAATCGAATTCCATCAGGTGAGCATTGTCATCACCTGGTAAAAAAAATTAACTAAGGCGTTAAATAATGTGTTAAAAAATAATAAAACACCAAAAAAACAGGTTACTTTTTTTTAAAATAAGATTTAAAATTTTATTGATATGTATATTTAAGTTTTCTTGTTGTTTTTGTTGTATTTTTTCCAATTGTTGTTTTTTCACATTCATAAGACTTATCTACATTACAGTACAGTACATTTTATTGAAATATAGTTGTAAAAAAATTATATTTTCAAAGTCTTTAATAGACTTTTCGCACTTCTAAAACTTAAAGAAAGAAAAAAGAAATAATAAAATAAAACTGCTTCGAGCAAATCAAATAAAACTTAAAACATAACACATAATTCTAACTTAACAAAATACAAAAAAAAAACGTTCTTAAGACATACTTATAGAGGAGGAAGAAATTTACTTTTTTAAAATAAAATTTAGAAAAAAGAGTTAGGAGTCAATAAACTAAAGATTTCATTATCATAACGGCGACGACGCCGCCAGCGATTACTTAGACTAAGATTAACAACTAAAAAATAAAATAGATGTACGTTTTTTTCTTCTGTTTAGAAATTAAACAAAAGAAAGACCTAACACTGAATGGATTTTTAATGGAAGCCAAATGGATTGAACGTGAGAATGAAGCGCAAAAAAAGCACACACACACACGTATCTATGTGAGAGATATGCTCAGGCATTAATGTTGTTCGTCGTTTTTTTTTTACTTTTTTCTGGTTTTCTAACAACAAAAGCTCGCGGTTGGAGTCTGCGAATTTTATGGACGCGTACACCAACTATGAATGCTGAATTTTGAATGTAGATGCTGCTGCTCCTCATGATGATGATGATAATAATGGTATGGTTTTTCTATGCGATTTGAGATTTTTTTTTGTAGTTGTTGTACTTCTTTTTTTACTTAGACTAATGAGAGTGGGAGTTTTTGTTGTTGTTTTTATGTAGAATAATTAGCATAGAGAGTTAAATTGAAATAATAGAACAAAGAACAGTGTTGCCGTTTTGGGTAAGAAATATTGCTGCAAACAATTTACCGTCGGAATGATGCGTTGCTTGCTACTTTAAGGGGACCTCCCCATTCTCGGGGTCAAATTTTTTTTTTGATTTAATTCGATTCTACACTAATTCAAGAATGTCTCTACAAAATTTCAAGTGAAAATCTCAAGAACTCTTGAAGATATAGCCGATTTATTGTGTCAGCATCAAGTGACGGCTAAAGGGCTTCTCAAACTTTAAACGCGTTTTTCTCTAAACATTTTTTTGCGAATGGCGGGCACGATAACTCAAAAACTAATAACCCAGTCGACTTCAAATTTTTACACGTTTCTCTGTGAGTGTATAGCTATCGTATGAACTAGGATAAAGCCAATCGGTGAAGATCTTCCTTATTTTTTAACTTGGTTTTTGGTCAAAAATCGGCGATTTTCAAAAAATATTTTTTCAAAGGTCCGCCATTTTGTTAATTTCAGAGCGAAGTCAATAATAAAGTTCATACGAGAGCCAGACATGTACTCTTTCTAACACCGTTGGAATTTTCGGATTACCATGTTCCAGTGAGGAGTTATCATGCCCGCCATCAAAAATAAGGACTTTTCTTTAATTACAAAAACAACAACAAAGGAATAACAAAAATTGTTTGTAAATTATTTTTCTTCTCTTTTAAATCTTCAAATATATATGTGCAAAGTTACAAACCTTAACAAGCATTGGTATTGATTTACCAGCCCATTGAAAATCTTGAAAAATTAAAATCGAGAATGGGTGGGGTTCCCTTAATAGCATACTCTATTCGCTTCAGTAGGGTTAATAAGATTCCTAAAGAATAATCCTTTGTATGACGAAAATTATTCATCATATGAAGTTCTACCATAAGATTGAGGCCATACGAAATCAGATATAAATATAAATAAGATTCCGCTGAACATAGAGAAAGTTAAGATGGCAAAAATCAGAAATTTCGCAAATTTCAGATTGGAAAAATGGCGAAGTATATGAAAATTATCTATGTCAGAGGGACGATCCCATAGCACAATTGTGAATAGACATGAAAAAGTACACCGGAATAATTCAGATGGATAAATTTACGCCCTATGGCGATATCATCGCCCTATGACGACAACATTTTGAAATCAAATAATTTTGTGGACCCACAAGTGAACCAAATAAAAACTAGACGAATATATTTTAAAGGCAGATACAACATCCCAATATTGCGATCAGTGAAACTTAGGTAAAAAAATTACCTTTCGGCCAGAAGATTTCTGACCCTCTGATAATATTGTAAACAGGTAATTGGGTTAGAAAAAGCTGGTAGGACTTTCAAAATACCTAAAAGAAACTGAAACCTTTATGACAAGACATGGACCAAACATAGACATTTATATGTTTGGGTGTTAAGGTTAAACTCTGAAGACTGAAGATGTCTCCTTACAACCACTTCGATTGGGAAATGTGGCTCAACTATTAAGAAAAATAACATGGTGCGGGAAGCATATATTCGGTTGGGGAAAAAGAAATTCATCGCGCAGGAGCTAAAAATCTACCATGTTTTAAACCATTTACACAAAACTGGATTCAAAAAGAAGCTCGATGTTTGGGCGCCACACCAATTAACTGAAAAAAATGGATGGATCGAATTTCCATCTGCGAAGCCTTGGCCAAACGTAATGAGATATACCCATTTCTTAAACGGATGGTGACTGAAGATGAGAAATGGATCACATACGATAGCCCTGTGTGTGGTGGTCAGAGTTCTAAGCCTCTGAGTCTATATTTTATGACGGTTTCTAAATTCGAAAACAGGGATAATATTTTCAATGTTTTAATGAACAACAATTTTAGGAATATTTCCACATATGAAAGGGCATTTGAAAAAAAGTATTTATTCGCCTTTAAAATTCCTTACAATGTTCTTTAAAAAAAATCGCAGAAAAAACGGCAACACTGTAATAGAGAGTTTTCGTTACATTGTATATAACAGAGAGAGCATTTCTTCGAAACAAAAAAATCTTCTGAAAATTTTCTCCAGGGCGGCATAAGTATAAGAAAATACATATATAAAAATAAAAATGAGATCTAAGGGGAAAAACTAAAAACTTAATCATTAACAGCGATTAAATCCATGGTTGTTGATTTTCTTGACACTGACGCCGATGGACAACCCGCTGCCGATAGCATTATCGAAGTCGGTGAGGCAACATTGGCCGTAGTTGAAGTTGACGAAGAACTAGTTGTTGGTGATGGCGACGACGACGCAGACAGCAACAAATCCTTTTGTGAACCACCACTCAGCAATTCATTAACTGTGGAACTTAACGACAACAACGAATCATTCATAGAAGCCGCCGAGCTCGTTAACGATGGTGACGAAGTTAGATTGTGTGTTAAACTGTGACGTCGCAAATCACAGTTGCGTCGAAATACTTTACCGCAGGCATTACAATTGTATGGCTTGATATCGGTGTGTGTTAGTAGATGTGTTTTCAAGTTTGAACGTTGATTGAAGGATCGATTGCAGACAGGGCACTTGTGCGGTGATTCTTCCATGTGGAGGATTTTATGAACGGCCAGCGTACGTGATTGACAGAATCCTTTGCCACATTCAGCACATTTGAATGGTTTCTCCTTGGAGTGAATGTATCTAATGAGGTGGGGGAAGAGGTGAGGGGGGAGAAGGAGGAAAAACAAATTATGAATGAAATTAAATATAATATTGGGTTAGTAGTTAAAAATACTAGTTACTTTATAATGAGATCTCCTACGTTCAGGGGCAAATGGAATTGTTTTTAGGAAGCCTCTACATTATACCTACACAAGGCATTGTCCCTAAACAAAACAAAAAATGTCACCTTTTCTGCTGAATATTTTCTAATTGTCAAGCAAACACTTCAATATTTTGATTAAGGGTCTAAAATAAAATTGGAACCTTATATATGTTTTTTCCAAATAGATATGACATTTATTAATACCCTAAATATAATATGAGGTCATATCATTATTTTCTTGCCTGTATTATTGGAGCTTGTCTGTGTTTGCGCTAAACTATAAAACAAAAATAATGACACCATATCTCTAAATCAAAATACCACAAACAGGAGGTAAATGTGTGGATCCAAGAATAGTCCATTCGTAAATTCTCGTGTTACCAGGGTCTTGTATACCGTCATTTTCAATGAGTTTTTAAACGGAGATCTTAAAATGGTGTCTGTGGCCATAAGAGTTTGTAACGTCACGAAATATTGGTGCAAGACCCACCTTTAGTATATCATATCTATACAAACTCAATCGATCTGGTCATGTGTGACAGTCCATCATAATTTGTACATAAAATTGTAGCCCGCAGTTATGGGACTATCGGTCCGGTTTCTGGCCCAAGACGACACTTATTGCTTTTAGTTTAGGGGATCAAACATACCAACAATTTATTTTTTCTCTTTTTCTGGTAGCTCTGGTTGTCATATTTATAATCGCAACATCGTGAAATTTTAATGGGGAAGGTGATTTCGACATAGAATAAGCATGACTATTTTATGAAAATCGGTAAAGGTTTAGCGGATCATATGGACCAAGATATGATACTTCCCTTTTCCTATATTGCTCTCCTATTATTCGCCTAAACAACTCAGTCATTGATCTGCACACAAGTCACGATCCGTCGTCATCGTGCTATAGTGAGCTAATCATGTCATTTGTAGTCTAGGGTATCGCTACAGGCAACTAACGTACTGGGAAAATTGTATCTGCGTTTAAGAACCACAGGGGAAGAAAAATCTCGATCCAACCTTCTGACATTGCCGGGGGGATCATACTAAAAATAAGAGTCTGACAACAAGGTAAGACTAAAATTACTGTCTTAGAATGTCGGAGGAGCGAAGAGGCTAATAAGATGGTGGAGGAAGTGAGTATGGATATCGCCAAATACTCCACAAGGAAAAACCAGTGAGCGGAACAGTATAGTCGGACCATGTGATACCCTACACAACTTCCACGAAAATCTAACTTTCTGCGGTTCTATATTCTGAGCTTGGGTAATATTACTAATATTCAGTACATCCCTTCTAATTAATTGTGCAGATTTCATTAGCCGTTGGTTGTGTTGGGATGTTTGGCTTTCATTTGTGGTCTATAGATCGACTCGAAAAAACACAAAAAAGAATACGTGAATACGTTAAGCACCTGTAAATATTTAAGTGTATCTTCCATAACCGAGTACATACGACAATATAATTGGTATCAATTTAAAGGTCAACCACTCCTCTTAGATATATTATCAACTAATCGGGTTTATGTCCTTCAGAGTTAAATATATACGCTATAGAATAAACATTTTGTCATTTTTCACACAAAAGTCAGGGTACATTTGGCCCGATCCCCTTCTCCATGTAAAAACTCGCGATGTTTGTGCCATCTTTGCGGGCTGTGGAGCGACCAGAAAAACCGACCAAAACTAAATATTTGGTCGTTTCATCCCCTAAATATTAACCGATCTTTACCAATAGGGGTCTTCATTGGCCATAACCCATCCTACATGTAAAATTTCGTGAAGATTGGTACATAATGTGGCCTGTATCGTGTTTACAAATTATAATGGACAGGCGGACGGACACACATGTCTACATCGAATCAGATAGTCGAGATATGACGATCGTATACTTAAAGGTGGGTCTAGGACCAATATTTCAATCTTATGAGCATTTTTTTTTAATTTTGATCTTGTCGGCGTTATTATTAAAGGATAGGGTAGAGAGCCGTTCATTTGATACACCAATTTCTCTTAAGCTTAAACTAGAATTCTTAAATCACTCATGCACAAAATAGTACGATAGCGGTGATTTCCAAAACACGTTTTCTCTTTGTCTCTCTTTGCGTCTCTTTCCTCTCTTTTGAATTGAGTTTCTCTCAGAACTGTGGGAGAATGGAAAATACGTCTTTATATTTTGCTCAAACTAAGATCTATTTATAAGGCCACCCAGCTAGCGAAAGTCGGCTGTTTTTTTTTTTCAAGTCTAATGTCAAAAAATTGGCCTTTGTTTACGGTTTCATAATGGAAGTCAATTCACAATAATGGATTTTGACTGCAAAGTTGAGAGGCGGCTGATATCCAACTGGTCTCCCTGGACGACCTTATTTATAGGCCTTGGTTAAGCCCTAGTCAAATCATCTCTCTCAGCAACCAAATCGAGAGAGAGAGAGCAAATAATTTGTATGCTCTCTTTTGCTAAACCCTTCTTTAATGACTCTCGACTTGCTAAATTTCCAATTTCTCGACTTTCAAAATTTCCAATTTCAAATTATGATGTTAGTATTAATTAATATTTTAAATATAATAAAAATTCCATTTACTTACCTATGGTCCCTTAAATGATCCTGCCGGCGAAAAGCTTTACCGCATATATCACACGAATATGGTCGCTCGTCGGTGTGGGTGCGTTCGTGTATCAGTAAATTATACGACTTGGTAAATTGGCGATTACAAAATTTGCAAATGAATTGTTTTTTGGCACGTTGGGCATTGGCCAAAACGGTGGATGATTGACCCGATGTGCTACCTCCAGTTGCACCACCTGATCCACCACACAAAATCGCTTCCGTATTATTAACCGTACCATGCAGTGAATTACATTCATTCACATTAAGGGTATTTAATTTATCTTGAAACATTGATGCCTGCAGGGCAGACATTTGATCAATGTCCGTATTACAAGAGCCATGATTTTGCTGCTGCTGTTGGTGTTGTTGAGCCCCCGAAATTGTCGATATCAGAGCACTATTGAAGAGAAAACTATTCTCCAATTCTGAGGAATCAAAATTCAGGGTATCATCACTGCTGTTGAGTATTTCACTTAAATCATGGGAGCTCGAATTGTTGTGGTTGTTGTTGTGATTGTGTTGGGCTGAGTGCAACGAGTGAAATAGGCTATTGGCCGAGGGTAATTTTGTGGGCCTTTCAGTAGTATAGTTAAGACCGGAATTGTCCTCGTGATGGTGATTGTGGTTTCCACTGTCCTTGTTTGTGTTGCTGGAGGAGGACGAGGAAGAAGATGATGCTCCAGAGTTACTTTGTTGTTTCAGTGTTGTTGCAGAATTTTCATTTTTATTGTCCGTAGTGTGCTGATTATTTCCCACGCTATTAAAACGAAAAACATCCGATTTACCTGTTATACGCTGCAGTGCCAAATACGATTCCAAAGCTTGCAAATTTAAGGCAGCAGCTGCGGGTGAATTCACCGGCAGTAAGGCGGCTTGTTGCAAGCTGGTTACCATTGTACCCTGCAATGATAGAAAAACAGCTGCAGCAGCTGCCAAATCATTTGTTGTGGTGGTCGTGGTGGAACTGGTGTTATTGTTGTTGCTATTGTTATTGGAGTTGCTTGTTGTAACTGTGTTGTTGTTGGAGTTCAGAGCTTTGCTAGTGATTTGAGTATTATTTGATTTGCCGCAGGCATTTCCATCCTTGGTTGTGGAAGATGATGTGGCTGATGAAGATGAGGTGCCTGAAGAGGAAGTGGCCGAACCACTGCTGCTAGAGATGGTGGTAGATTGGTGTTGTTGTTGCTGCTGTTGCATGTTTGTGGCATTAACCAAAACTTCCAACAATGCTGGATTATTAATGATATCTGCCAAATGTTGTGTGGTGCTAGCTGAGGAGGAGGAGGTGGTGGAGTTGTTGTTGGCATTGCCATTTCCCAATAACTGATTACGGCTATGATTGACCTCTGTAAAATTAAGGTATGAATAGGGTTCACTGCAGCTTACTTTCTTCGAAGGGGCAGAAGATGATGATGCCGATGAGGAAGAAGACATGGAAGAGGAGGATGCTGATGTTGTTGTTGTGTTGGAGGCTAATGATGAGTTATTGTTGTTGTTACTGAATTCTAGATCCAGGGCTTCCATTTTTGCAAATTTGTTGTTGTTTTGTTTTCCAAATTCGAAAAAAAATCGGCAGGTTTCTGATATTTATTATTTTTTTTATTTCCAATTGGGTCTCCCACGCAATGTTGTTGCCAAGCCTACACACACTGCTGCAGATGAGCGCTTGATTTATGTGAATGAATTAGAAATCACAAATACCATATGTCACCCATCATAAATCACGGTTAGAGTCACGTTTCCCCAAAAAAATCACACACAAAATTTCGATACGAAATTTTTCCGCAAATTTTTTGGTATGGGAAATTTTTTAATTTTTTTTTTGCACTCCAAATTCTTATTGGCAAGAGTACACGTTTGTTATTGTTTTTTTTTTTTTAATTCAAGCACTTGTTGTAATTTTTTTCACAGGTCCATTGGCCGAGGGGGTATGATTCACCCCTTTGTTAAATTTAAATTTTTTGAAATTCTTTTAAACTGACCACCTCTATTTTAGTTTTCTTTTTTCTGGCTTCCTTTCTTTACGTAGACCGAGTAGCGATCAACGCGCACAGTGTTGAGAAGTCCACGAACAAACTAAATGTCCATTGCCTAGTGTATTTCACGCGGACCACAAGAGCAAATCAAATTTTGAGTAACCAGAAGCGGCAGCAGCAGCAGCTCTACCACACATACCAATAAGGTTGGCCAACAAGAGGCACACACAAGGTAACCCAGGGAATTATAGAGAGGAGAGAGTGAGAGAAAAAATAAAAGGGGAGAGAGAAACCTTTTTTCCTTTTGGGTTCTTTTCTAATTGAGCTAATTGTGTTGGTTAGTGTGGTGATCATAACCCACTCTCTCTCACAGTTATAATCAGAAAGAGAGGGAGATCGTTAAAGAGAGTAATCAAATTTGAACAGGTGAGCAACCAATACCAGTTACCTTTGTTTAGCAACACACCTATTAATGAGCATGATCAGTGAATACCTAATACTCTCAGAACAAGTTCCCTTGGGTATGACACACTCAGAGAAAGAGAGAGGGAGAGAAAGAGAGTGAGAATGGGGACCCAAGAAAGATCATTTCAGCCAGCCGTAAAGAAAGAAAACTGGTTAAACGTCTTTGTTTTTATTTTTCTTCCACAATCATTTTTTTGCTTTTGCGATGCGATCGTCAATATGGCTTGTTGGCTGGCTGGTTGGCAGATCTGACTGACTGGCTGGCTGGATGGCTTAACTTAGCACCGGCATGTGTGGGTGTCATGCTATGAACCTACAAAATGTAAATGAATGTTATTTTATTGCTACGTTGGCCTTTGACGCAAACACCAACAACAACAAAAAGATCCCCAGCTCAGCTTCGAAAACGTTTTCTACATTTGTTTTGCAACGTCTTATGATTTCCCAAAAGAGACACCACAATAACGTCCAAACTGTCGACAAAAGGCCCCAAAGCTACACACCCTAAAAACTTAACTAAATGTTTTATTTTATTTTATGGCTTCTCTGGTGGCTCTGGGTTAAAGCTCAATTTACGACTGAAGGCAAAGCAAAAAAAAAAAAACATTTCTGGTTTTTGTTGTTGGTATTCTGGAACTTCTATAATTGTCGCCAAATCACAGAAAATTGGCCAAAATAACGCAAATCTGAAGAAAAAAACATGAAACTGAATTTCCCCACATTGCATGTTAATGGCTGCAAAACACTGAACTGAACCACGAAGTCAAAGTGGAAGTGGAGGAAGAAGAAGCCTTGCAAGCCTCTAAATCCCAAAGTTCATCATCAAACAATTATGAGTGATAAACGCCAGAGAGAGACTCAAGCGATCCAAGGGAAATCAGAAGCATTAGGTAAACCTTTATCTTTCTTTCTTTGCCAACAAACGGTCAACAAAACATTTATCCTTTCTGACTATCCATAAATGGCCTATCTGCGCGCTGTTTTGCCTCTACCACTGCTGCTGCTGCACAATTTATTTTCACATCAAATTGTAATTTTGTTCGGCAGCGGCGTAGCCAACCAACGAACAACCATTTTGTTACCACTTATACCGAAATTATGTTGATTAATGTCATCGGAACATGTCATTCGCTCGTTGTGCTGGGGATAGATGGGACATTAGCATTCCGTCAATGATATCCTTGCGGATTTTTTGGTGGATTTATTTTTTTGTGGTATAATCTGGTAAGACAGTAAGTTATAATTTGGCTTATGGGAGCTAAGACATGATGCCACATTTAAATCGTCATTACGCAGGTTAAAATGTTGAAGGGGTTTCATGAGAAAATCATATATTTTGTAATCATTAAAATTAAAAAAAAAATACGAATTTGGGGACAAATTTAGGGAGGGGGTTGCAAATATTTCACCGAAGACAAATCTGGACAGGACAGTTGGAATATTAGTTATTTGACTTTTTTTACACTTGATTGACTCAGATTAATTATTCTCTATATTTTCAAACTCTCATTGAATATCTGTTCTATTTTCGATAATCCTCTGCTTATCCTCACAAGATCGAATGTTGAGTTATTGAGAGTTTTTATTTTTTTTTCACTTTCTTCCGCATTAATTTATTTTAGAGAGTCAGGTCTGTGGGGTCTACTTACAGAAATTATTATTCAATGAGTAACTGAACTCGATTGTTATACCTGTATGTATGTTTAAATCTGGTTAATATTTGAAATATTTAAGAAAGAGATTTAAGTGTTGAACTTACATTGATAATACTCCCGGAGTGGCTTTAATCTTCATGGACAACAAAATACTTCCTAGATATATGCATTTATAATATAGAATATTTATAATAACATAGTATCCCATATAAAGTTCCCTTCCAATTTTAAATAGGTTAATATTCTTAATATAACTCAGAAGGCAATCATTATAGCAGAAAAATTTCAATATAGTTTCATCCTTAAACATATCCCACATTTTCAGGAACCACCATATTATATGTGTTCCAAAGGTATGTATCCCGCAGGTCCCGTCCAGTTTAGGTATTTGTCAACACCATTATCTACAACCTATATGGAACTAATTTTTCTACTCAGTAGAATAATATAATAAGAAAACAGTCTATTGTAAATGGACAGGTTTCTTATCGAAATATCGAAATTAGGCCCCATATAACGGGCCTATCCTAAAAATGGGAGAATGTTGATTTTTGGTAGAAATTTGGTAGGAAGATTAGCTACCCAATAAAAATTCCAAACACCAAATTATGACTCATTTGGATAAAAAACGTGCAAAATATTCCCAAAATACCGAATACTTTTCGGCACCGTTGTATGGGTGATATATCAAAACATTGGCCTATGTATCCCATTTTTGAACCCCAATATTCTAGGAGAAATAACAAATTTCAAAGCTCTATCTTAAATATTGTGTGATCTATCGTGATTTCAACAAACGAACATGCATAAATCGACATAGAATTTTATTCGGGGTCTACGGTGACCACTACGAAGTGTTACCAACTTCCTTTGATAAATAATATACAGGGTGAGATGAAAAAAACTGCAACCAACTTCAGGCTGCTGTTATTTCTAAGCCACTCATGTGACAGCTATTAAAATTATTCCAGTGGCAGCTCAAGCGTACAAACGTATTTTGGTGAGAATTTTCCAGAAAAAAGTTAATCGTGATGGAATTCAAGCGTGATAGTGTGATTTCTTTATACTTGGCTGGAAAACCACAAGTGGCTAAGGACTCCAGCATTTAAATATGAACGAATCTTTTGTGTCTCGTACCATCGCTGGTTACGGTGACACTGGTAGCGTAGACCGACGTCAAGGAAATAGTCGAAAAAACAGCAACATCAGCAGAAATAGTTCGAAAAGTAAAGAAGCGACATGATCGAAACTTGATCGGAAATGTCGCAGTGGCCAAAAAAGGGTAAAGCCTTTGAAACTTAAAAAACTGCAAGAACTTACACCGCAACAGAAGGATAATAGTCTCAAAAGAGCTAAAGAGTTGCTTCGCTTGGCCGAAAGTGGTGATCTGCCGAATTTGGTTTTCTCCTATGAGAAAACATTCGTTGTTCAACAGTTTGTAAACAAACGAACTGGTGATGGTGTGGGCCGCCATAACAGCCGATGGTTCCTCTCCGCTCGTATTAATCAGAATAAATGTCGAATATTATCGCGAACATATTCTGGCCTTGGACACGCAAACATTTTGGCCACAGACTTTGGACATTCCGACAGGACTCAGCACCATCGCACGCAACAGCCAAGAATGGTTACAAAATGAGTTTCCTTGCTTTATTTCCAGCGCACAATGGCCACCAAAATCTCCGGATACCAATCTTTTGGACTATTGTGTCTGAAGTATTTTGGAAAGCAAGGTTGGCAAGCGCTTCGCCGGAAATGGGCCAAAATACCACAGAGCAACATTCGGGCAGCGTGTGACAGTTTCATTGCCCGTTTGAAGACCACAATTCGTGCCAAATGTGACTAATTCGAACAAATCTAATCATATTCTAAAATTTGACGCTATTTACGACATTTCTTGCTTTCTTTCAATAAAATTACATAAAAATGGCATGGCTGATAACGTAAGAACTTCGATTTGTCACAAGAGACATTTGGGTATGAAAGGTTTTTTGTAAAGAAGCAATAACTAGCTTCTGGGTAGAATATCCCAACAAAAAACTAAGGGAACTGATGAGGATCAGTGGCGAGATCCGAAGCTATAGTCTTCCCTGGCTTACCCCTCGGCGGACAATGCCATACATTCCCCACTAATAAATATTTGTTTTTTATAAAAACAACAAACTGCGATTAAGCCCCACTATTTTGCAAAAACAAATTAAATGTAAAAATTATGACTTTGTTGCATTTTTTTATCTCACCCTGTATTTATTGTACACTCCAACTTATAGTCGACGGTATAAAATTTTTCTAACAGAACGTCCTCGTCGTATTCAGATCCCGCCCCTTTTTGAATATTTTGATGGTTTTCGCTTCAATATGAATGTAATTTATATTAAGGCTTCTCAGGTGGTAAAATATCTTCTGGCAGAAAAATTTCCATGTTTTG